ATGGTTTTGTCATGCTTCTGGAAAATGCAGAAGATACAACACTCGATATATTGGATGCTTCAAATGAACTTGCACTTTTCTTAACTCGAGCTGTGATTGATGATGTGCTTGCCCCCGTTGAATTTGTATGAAACTAGCAGCAGGCTACCACAAAAAAGCAGTGGTAGTGAAACTGTGCGTATGGCTCGAACACTTGTTTATGCTTACCCTGCAGGTGAAAGGCTGTTGAGATGCTTGAATGCAAACTGACTTATGCTTACATTTATGCAGGTTTATCGCACTGAACTGAAATGGCGAGGCTATTTGGATTGTTGGTGATTAGCCTTCTGCAGATTATGGTTTTGTTAGCATGCTGCAATATGTTTATATGCAGGGCAGCTTTTGGCTATACGGATTAACATTGGCGGTGCAAGAAATGCTCAAGACTGCAACATGATATACGAATGATGCAAGATCGATTGACGTTTTATGGCATTGTAGCAAAGGGAAGGATGGAAGACATGGTCGGACTGTGGGGCCCGAATCTGTTTTGTAGTTTAGGTTGCATCAACTTAGGTGTTCTTCCTCTTGTAGTATCCCAAAATATAATGATATTTGAATGAATATTTTCCTTCCAATTTGCATTTGAATTCCAAGCTTTGGAAAACATGAACATTCATATGGTCTTGAACTTTGAATGGTGAAATTGAATGGAGTTTATGGATGTAATGATTCATGCGAATTGGATTTCTTGATTTAAAATAGTAGAACTTGGATGGGTTTTGAATGAATCTTTCCTTCCCATTAGCATTTAAATTCTGAGTTTTCCTTGATTTATCATATAAAATGAATCGTGATACAAGATGAACGAATTGAATTTGTGTTGAATATTTGAATAAAAATCCCGAATTAAATCATGAATAAACCTTGAATCACTTTGCATGAATCCTTCAATGATAAACTTACTTCTATCCATATCCACTCGTATTGAGGACAACAAATGACAATGATAAGAACGATAATCGCCTTGATTAAGAATAAGTCCACAAATTCATATCTTATGCCATGAACCATGCTTCACAATTCAACCTTCATCCTTTAATGACCGGTTATCTCAACTCAAAATCAATGTCATGAAGAACATCTTAAGGATGGATGATAAGGTTTGAAACACGGAAGAATTCCCTTGACATGAAACCCTAGTCGCACAAATGAAAACCCCAGAACTTGCCGAGACTGGATAAAAACAATTATATCCTAAAAAGAAAGGAATCCTGATAACCACACCTCACGACCTTGATTCCTCAGTTCAAATGCACAGAGAAATATCCAGATGAAGTATCTTTGAACCATGATTCAAACAAACTTGAATTGGTTAACTGAGGAATGGATGAATGTTATGCCATAGTCATTAACCCTGATCAGATGATAAGCACACTCATATGAGGAGACGTCTTGATTCAAAGACCATGTATGCTAGGTCAGACCCCTGAGTTCTTGACAAGAAAAATCCTACAACTTGATATTCAAGCGAAGAGAATAGCCTTGTTGCTTGATGGAGAAGAAGTTTAAACTGAACATGAACTATAACCCTAATTACACAGTCTTATACACCAAGAAGAACCAAAATAACCAATCTTATTCAACATATACTCCTCAAACCACTTGTAAACCCTAGCTTCATAACTACTGATCTTTTGAACCTCATGTGTTCTTTTGAAATGCAAAAATGTATGTTATATTAGTGACCTAATGAAAATATGTGAATGCAACGCTAAGTCTAAGCCAAATAAAAGTACAGTTAGGAGGAAAAAATTTATGGTGCAACAAGATGCTACAGACTGTGCTTCTACAGAGGTATATGTTCATACTAGTGGAGTCTTCCCAATAGGATCGAGTGACAGGTCTGTGTTCACATATTATGCCGACCATGTTTCCTACCATTTATGGCAGGGAGAGGTATATACATATATTATATGTTGAAGTTTAACTTATTTATGATTTATTATTGAAAATTTGTTGATTTTTTAATTTTGTTAGTTACAAGGTTGTGTCCCGCTGAAGGTGACATCCCACGGGGCCAAGTTGAAGAACTAGCCACGGACTGAGATGTCTGAGCAGGTTAGGACTATTGTTCGGGATTTTGGTCTCCCCGACATGACCGATTGCTCGTTGACCATGCTAGACGTTTCCCTTCTATCTGCTTTCATTAAGTAGTGGCACTCATATATCTTCCTTTCATCTTCCATTTGGAGAGATGAGGGTTACTTTGGATGACGTCTTTGTGTTTTTCCATCTCCTCGTTGGTGGGTTGTTTTTTACCGCTCTTATTATTAGCGAGATTGATGTTGTGACGGCTATCCTAGAGGATATGGGAGTGATTGTGGAGGAGGTGATTAAGGATTTTGGCTACAACAGGGGTCTTTACTTGCGATTGTCTTGGCTCCGGGAGAGGTACAATGGGTTTGTGCTGGCAGAGATGTATGAGGTTGTCGTTATGGCGTACATGCTACATCTAGTAGTTTGTACCATTCTTGTGGACTAGTCTGATAATTATATTGATGCTCGATATGTAAGGTTGTTATGTGATCTTGACCACGGTAATTGGGCTTGGGGGTGTTGTGCATTGACTGTTCTCTATACGACACTAGGAGCTGCGACTGTCTTTGAGACAAAGAAGATTTGTGGATATTTAAGTCTACTCCAGGTATGTGGTCACATTATTTATAATAGTTATTTAACTGTTAGTTGTGACATTTAGTTGTGACATTTATTGTTTATTTATTGTTGTATTTGTTTTCTGTTTTATTGGATATACAAGCACTTCCTCTGTATCGTTGACAGGAGGGAGCAACGTGTTGCAGCGGATGCACCATGGGCGATGAGATAGAGTTCCAAACATGCGCATTCAGAAGGATTGCTGGAGTACAAGAGGAGGCTAGATGCCTTGACAGTCCATATGCCATCTGGATACCATACGATGGTCACAGGGCCCACCGTTCGTTTGATTCGAGTTCTTTGTTTGCAGGTCATTTGAGGTGTGAGAGCATGGTGGCTAGACACCTTCCCGAGAGGTGTTTGTGACATTATGGGTATGTCCAGGGTTCCACGGTCTGTTCCAGGTATTCCTGGTAGTGGCATTGGCATTGATATATGGTTTTAGAGTAATATTCTCAGCTCATCCCGTGCCATTATAGAGAGAGCGGTGAGGGTTCAGGAGGGGTCACAGTGTGAGGATGGATACATGGAGTGGTACCTCATTGTGTCTCACCCTTGCATATGACCTTCATATCTTCATCGCTCTTCTACTCAACAATGTTGTAACTAACCCTTCCGTCAACGTCCATGTTCCAAATTTCACGGTATGAAATCTTTCCCACCCTTCTATTATCAGTATCAGGAAGCAATTCTCCCAACTTTTTCGTCAGTGGCTCGAAGACCATAAACCCGTCTGAAATCTGAAACTTCACAGGATCTTGTGCTCTAGTGAAGTGCACTGCTGCGTTAACCAAAAATTAAGGAAGGATGCATTTTACGATTCTGATTATTTCTCAACAACTGGTGACCTCTATTTATACAACTTTCGATGTATTCTAAACCACGTAAAATTGTCGGTGCAATCATAACCCTCGGCAAAATTGTAGTCGTTGCATAAAACTGATTTTTATAACCTACCGAAAATTTCAACTTCAACTAAATTTTCGATATGTTACCGAAAATGTTTAAATTTCCGGAATTATTTGTAACGTACCAGAGTTTTCATATTGAATTACCGGAAATTTTAACTATACCAAAATTTTCAAATTTATACCGGATATTTTGTTCAGAATACTCTTCTATTTTATCACAAAGAGCATTTTAGACATTATGAAACTCCAAGAGTGTCATGTATAAATTTGGGGGTGGCATGTTAAAATTTTCTAATGTAGGCACTAATGTAAACCAAATTTGAAAATTTATGTTTCCACCCGTATATCTTTTTTAAAGTCTATGGTGAAATGTAAAAAATGTCTCCTGTTTTTAAAAATATATCTTCGAACGCATTAAATTTTATTTTTTTTAAATAAAAAAATTAATTAGGAGATACATATCCGAATTTATTTGAGATTAATTTGAAAATATATCTCCGAATTAATTCAAAAATATTTTGGAGTTTTCAAAAGTGCGGCTCATCATAAGAATGTAAAGAGAAATTTCATTTCCAACTCAATTCTTTTCTGTGAATCGTGATAAGAACATGACCAAGTCAGTATTCTTAAGTTGGTTTGGTCTTATTGATTCTAACTGTTTCTGTTACAATTAGTTCGAAGTAGTCGAAAAAATTAGGATATAATTTAACTTGTAAATTGTTGATTGAGCTGCATCATTCATTACTTAATTTTCATGAAATAGAGAAGAAAAGTTCATAGAGAAAATTAATAGAAAAAAATGATAAGGCTTAGAAACTCCTGTGGTTTGGACCCAACTGTTTGTTGTAAATAGGTTACTGAGTGTGCAAGGGTGATAGTCTCTACAGTACAGTTCAAAGATAGTATTGTAAACTCGGTCGTAGTACTAAATATATATAGTACTTGTAACACTTTAACCCTAATTCATCACAGAGATACTAATGAACTATACATACTCTATAGTTGGGGAGATCCATTTGCATCAACTTTTGGTTTTCACATTGTCTGGGCTCTCCTAATATAGCATTAGGTTACAACACAAATAATACACATTATTATCTCTCTTTGTACCAAATATGATGATTACTGGTGATATATATTAAATATCAAATAAATGATAAATAAAGCATACACTAATACTGTGAATCCCTTCCCAGGTCAGCATTTACATACAGAAAAACAATAAAACAAATGTTATTTTGTTACATTATAAAACAGACTATTCTATAGCAATTGAGAAGTTGATATAACTATATCATGTGAAAAGATACAGCTTCATTTTAGAACAAGATCAAACCACCGAGATTTTAGAACTTTGTGAAGCAATATTTGATGAAATTAACCACACCTAAATTACACAGATGGAAAGTATTTGTTTAGATTGAAAGGAAGTGAATAAAACTCCTCACTTCTTGTGTCTGTTTTAAAGGACCTGTACTTGTCCCACCAATGCTTTCCTCTATCTTTCCGAATAGCAGAATCCTTCTTATGTAGTGTGTTATCCAGGAAATATGCCACAACTCCAGCTACAAATGCTTTTGATTGGAATGGCACATTTACCATATCATTGAACTGCATTCAGGTAACATCAAAATGTTAGTGTAACCAAACTACATTAAAAAAGTGCATGACAAGAATAGAAAAATAGAGGCATACCCATCTTGCTCCAGTGTGAACTGGACCAAACCCATTAATTGCTGTGTACTCGTTAAAGTACTGTGGGATAGATAAGCCCAGGAAGATAGAGAAGCCTAATACAAACTTTGTCCTAAAACTATTGAGGTTGCAGAATTGAAGAAAACTTAGACCTCCCGAACCTACAAATGGTCATTAAAAGTGGTTATTGTAAGCATCAAAGTAACTGAAAAGCAGTATCCACGGCTGGCATAAGTGCTTATCGTATATTCACGGGCTCAATATCTTAAATCGGACATACCAACATAAGCAAAGAACAAGCAGTATAGTGCAGCAACAATGGAAGGGGGGATGGAAGCGAATACTGCCCCAAATTTCCCTACAGAGCAAAGAGAAAATAGCAAGTGTTGAAGGAAAAGCAGATGATCAGGTTAAAAACATTGCACTTAAACTTTCATCTTACCTAGAATTGAAAAGAAAATCATAAACCCGGCGGATATTTGCACCACTCTTCGACTACCGACACGTGTTAAAGCCAAAAGACCAGCATTTTCTCTATAAGAAAACAAAAACGAACACAATTCTCTCATCACCAAGGATGTTTTCCTCTTAATTATGTGGGGTGAACAAACAGAATAGTTAGATTCTTACACAGATACAGAAGATCCGATCCCAGTTCCAAACAATCCCGATAACAGAATGCCAACACCCTGAAGAGCGGATACAAAATGTACAATTATCAGTGTTAGTTGACTAAGAAAGAAGTACTATTGTTTATAAATGCATTTAAATTGATTTGTGGATATTTGAATGCAAGAATATCATACCTGCCAACCAATACCCCGACTAAGAATCGATGGTGGTAATGGTGTTGCACTAGCGAACCGATAAACAGCAATAAAAGCTCCACTGGACTGTTTGTAACAAATCAAACACGGATGTAAAATATAACTCTAGTGAGGCAGTATTACAATGAAAATGCAAATAAGAAAACTGCATAACACTAATAATCAGTTAGAACAGAAGTAATACAAGCCACTGAGCCAGATAATCTATATAAAACAAGGTGTGATAAAAATATATAAACAATTAAGTGTAATAGAATAGTGGTTACACGGGCACATCAGTGACCGTATTTTTGCTAGAATACAAATAAAGGAATTACCTCTACTAGAACAACGAAGGATGCCATCATCATGGCAAAGGCTTCGCCTGCATCAAATGAAGGTGCACCCCATTGAAATGGATATGGAACACGAATCCTGCAAACCCGATATCCCGGTGTATAAGAAGCTAATATCTCAAGGATGCAATTAAATTTTGCTTTAAAAATATCAATTTTGTTTTGCACATGCTCTAAAGTACAAAAAATTGACTTGTATAGAAAAAAGAAAAAGGTTCAGGCATGATATATGTGACACTAAGGAATTCCAACACTCTTTTAATACACGCCTGAGTTGTCAATTGCAAATTGCATACAATAGTTGCTTGTTGAAATTCAGCACTGCTATAGCAGCTATATGACAACACTGATAGACGTGTCAAGGATTGAGGATAATAGTGGTTGTTCAAATTCCGTTGTGCTATAGAGCCACTATTTAATAACACTGGTACACACTTTATGATTAGTCCATTTTTTACAAGTTAACACACTTACCTCGTAAATTGGCCATTTAAAAAAAAAATGGACTGATTATAAAAAATGTCTTTTGAAAAGTCTTATTCTCACCTCCACAATGCATCATTGATAATACCAAAATGGAATTCATAAGAATGAATCCCCCATAACACCATTTAGCAAAAGGTGCAATTTCAAAGTTTTGTGAAGTAATCGGGTAAATAAAATAAAATAAAAAAACTCAAATGAAACAATGTTAAAGACTTATAACGAGTACACCACAACTTAAGGACATGGGATAATTGTCATCAAATAATCGTTTGCAAAAGAAGAAAACTAGTAAAAAGTCAATGGAATTCCGAATTCCACAACTCACCATGGAGCAGCATCTATTAGGCCTGAACGATCAGTGCGGCAGGTTATCTGTGTTTTATGTTTAGCATGGTTATATGCGCCTCCAACAGTCAGAATATAAGCATATAACCACACAATTGCAACTGTGAATAAAACAGAAAAACGGTCGAAAATGTGTTTTCCTGAATGGAGCACATGGGGTACAAACTGCATGATAACCAATAACTGTTGTTAGCAAATTCAGATCCACATAAACCATCAAGCCCAAAAGATAACGAAACGTGAACACAGACCAATATGGTGATTTGTAACATGGATACTATGTGTCCGACACTTTAAAAAGCTGTACCTGAGAAACAAATACTAGCAATATAAGCTCTGGCAATCCAATCTCTACACATTGAGCAACCTATAACCAAACCAGACATCAATGTCAATCACTTTTTATCAATTAACAACGCACGCGGACAATTAATTTAAATATGTAATTTAAGGCTTACCCCAGGAAAGCCCAACTCATACAGCCCAAAACCAACAAGAGATACCAAAGGAACGGCTGAAAGTGGACTTAAGAACCTGAAGAAAGAAGTTGAGCTTGCATCATTTGCGAATATTACGATCAATCACAAGGACATAATGTTAATTAAATCTTCAGTTACTTAAAACTAGATAGTTAATACAAATTCCATATCACAAATCACTCGAGCACGTCATCAAAATATGAAATTCGACCATCAGGGCAGTTGAGATTAATTAAACTGACAATGTGCCTGAGTTGCATGAATAGGGGTATGGTACTGAGTACGCGTACGGATACAATACAAGATACGTAAATATTAAGAAAAATTAAGGCACGGGTACATTAGAAATATACAATGGAATGTGTTTCGTAAGTATAATATTTAACAAACAAAAATACAAGAAAGCGTCGTTCATAATAAAATACCAATGCTTCAGATGTGCATATGCAGCAGCCCCAAAAATCTAGCTTATACTCCACTTTGGACATTTTCAATCCACATATGAATACCAAGAAAGTATAACACAATCACTCACTAAGAGTTTGAGACGAACCTTGCAACATTACGCCAAAGACCACTAAATCCAAGTACTATTTGAAGGGTTGAAGCAACAATAAGAGCACCTTGGATTGCCCGCATTATCTTCTTGAATTTCTGAATAGAGGAAAGAATAAAGAAAAAAAGTTGAGGAAGAAAGTGAGCAAACAGTTCGCGTACCCGAAAATAAAAATGGTGACTCAATATTTACTTTAGTATCAGAATCAAACGCCGTATTCTGCTTGTTAGATTAAATTTATGTTCATTTTTGGATTATTTTTTCTTCATTTCTTTCTTAACACTGTCACATGTTCCCAAGGTCTAGGCATGCCACAAGCCCACAAGGAATTTAACCAATATCTTTGAGTTTAAGACATGCCAATTTAACTGATTAACCAAACTACCATTAACAAATTTACACTCTTATTATTTTCGAATTCCAATGGATTAAAACACTGAATATTTACCAGTTTTCTGGTTATAACATGGCATAATTTCCTTTAAAAATCAAAGAAGTCAGTGTTAAGGTTATGGCTGATTTCATTTCAATACAAGAAAGTAACCCAGCAAGCATATGACATATCAACCGTGCACAATTAATAACAAGAATAGTTCTCATGGAAAACCTCTATAGGATCTGGCTCATCATTAAATCGACCAGCGAGAATGATTGAGATTGTTGTTGGAACAAACGTGTAAGACCCTCCAATTATGGCTGGCAATCGGCTACCAAACAAAGTTTGCACTAATGTGTTGATTCCAGCCACAAAGAGTAGTGTTTGGATAACCTTTGCTTTCTCCTCCTACAAAAACAAAAAAAAAACACACTTGTAATTATTTTCTCCGAATCATCAAGAAAATTGTTTCATTTAATTTCTTAATGCTTACATTGCCACCTCCCATCTGGGGAACAAGAGAAGTAGGAATCAACACAGTTGTGCCCAGCATCACAAGATAATGTTGGAAACCAAGAAGTATGGCCTCAGCTGCATCAGAATGAACCCAAATTTCACATCAAATTTAGTAAGGAAAAGATAAACAAATGTATCAATCATATCTCCAACAACCTAAAGCCCACCGAAAAATAGGAATGATCCTTAAAATTTAAAATTCAAACTACTTAGCATGATAACAGGATATGATATTGAACTCATCCATAAAATAGAATAATAATTTCTTAATTAAAAAATGGTTAATGTTTTATTTAAATTGAACATTGCCTCCTCATAAACTCATCAAGGTAACTAAAAGGAAAGAATTTACAAAAGAAAACTTTAAACACTTGGATAAAAAGTTAGGATGCACAAGCACACACAAATAAAGCAACCATCACAAAAAGAATGCTTTAAAATATTCCATATCTATGAGCTAAGAATCAGGTTCTTAGCAAATAAATAAATTTAAAAAAAAAAGAATGCAGCAACTCACGCCAAGGAGGAGGACTTGTTATGCAGTAAGAAACATTAGGTAGCTGATCTTTCGGTGGATGAGGCTTTGGCTCATCCGCTTTCGGCGCCGGAGCTCCACCACCACCACCTCCTGCCATAACTTCCTAACTTCGACACAGACAAAGAAACAAAGAAACAAAGAAGAAGATAACAATGATAGAGTGAGAGTTTGTTTAGGTTATGAAAAGTAGAAGTAATAGTTAGAATAATTGCAAAGTTTAACAGAGAGAGAAGAAAAAAAAAGTACACCTTTTAACGATGTTTGTTTCAGCTAGTAAAGTCAATGAACTGTATAAGTCAGAAATTAACAGAAATAATTATTGTAAATAAAAAATAAAAAGCTTTCAGTGAAAGACAACTCAGAATGTGTGAACTGTGAAGTAGTACACCAGTAAAGAAAACTTGAAAACAAAGAGTGTGAAGAATGGTAACCAGTACACAGAATGAGCTAAATCTTCTTTTTCTCTCTCTTCTCCTAATAATAATTTATTTTCTCTCTCTTGGTTGAATGCAACTACACGACTTATTATATTAGGAAACCTATCCCTTTACGTTTATTTTCAATTATTCGAATTTAACTAAACTTTTAATATTTGTGATATTTTATTTTATTTTTATTTTCATTTTTTATGTTGTTGTTGTTTGTTTGGTTTTGGAAGTGGCATTAGAAAGAGAGAAAGCAAGTCTTATGGATGAGTCATGAGTCATGAGTCATGACGGTGATGGTTGTTGGATACTAGTAATTTGTAGCGTAGTTATACACCGACAGTGAATGAATGAATACATTAGGGGTAAATTAATTAATTACTGTCAAATGTGAAAGAAGGGATGTGGAGACCAGCTTCATATTTTTAATTTATGCTAATTAACTTCATACTTTTATAATGCACATTGATTCACAATTGCGCCACAATGATATTATTAGCATATGTTTCTTTTCACGGTGGAAATCTAAAAAAACACACGGTTTGATAGAAGTTGTAATTAGTAGCTTTTCTATTTCTGCTATGAAATTCAATTACACTTAATTAGATTAAAATATGCATGATGTACGGCTGTAAATTAGTTTATTTATTTTTTATTAAATTTTAAATATATTAAAAGTTGTTTTTGATGAAATATAATTAGTAAATTTATATTATAATTTTTTTTAAATTATAATTGAGATAATAATATAAAGTAATCACATAGATAAATATATTGCATTTGAAAAGAAAATATATGCGTGTAAATTGAAAGTGATATTCATTTTTTGTTTTGTTTTGATTTTCGTTTTTTTTTTTTGCATTTATCTTTTATTTAACTATTTTATTTTAATTTGTTAAATATAGGTATTTATTTTTAATGTTAAATAAATTTAATTATTTATAATTATTATCAAATAAAAGTTTTAATAATTTTTTAAAATTTATGTCTATTTTATCGAACTTTATAAAATTGTTACATACTATATTATTCTATTAGATCAACTTAAAATGATTTATATTTAAAAATTATTTAAGAACTACTTTAAGATTAAAAATATTTATTTCAACTTATTTTTATTGTTATAATTTCAGGAAAACAACAAATATTTTATTGTTTTTGGATTTTAACATCTCTTTTATTTTTGAAATTTGAGAGAAATATTCTTAATATAAGGGAATATAAATAGTATGATTGACTTGTTAGACTATTTTGTCTAAAATAAGAAAAATATTTTATTATGTTCAAATTTTTTTATCTCTTTTGTACAAAATTTAATTATATATTATTAATTTATTATTTGATATTGTATACAAAAATATAGTAATAAAGTATATACACATTGTAAAAATTGTTGAATACTATATTATATTTTAAATAAGTTTCAAGTGATTTATATTTAAAAATTATATAAAAAATATTTTAAGATTAAAAATATTTATTTCAAATGTTATATTTATTGCTATAATTTTCAGAAAATAAAAAATATTTTATGATATTTGAATTTTCACACCTCTTTTATATTTAAAATATTTTTTTCACTTATATTTTATTTATAATTATTATTAAATAAAACTTTCAATAACTTTATAAAATTTAAATCTATTTTATCGAATTTTATATACTTATTACATATTATATTATTTTTTAAATTTAAATGTAGTTTTAATTCTTTTAATTTAATTTTTTAAATTTTTTAATCTCTCTTAAAAAAGTCACTTTTTTAATTCTCTTTATAATATATTTCTTTGTTTTTTTTGTGGTCCTACATTACATGGCATTCAAACTTATGACATGGCAAGATGAAATTGACCTTACCACATTAAAATTTTTGTCACATCATTTAAATTATGTTGTAAAACATTATTTATTATTATTAATATTTTATTTAATTATAATTTATATTTATTATTAATTACTATTAAAATAGAAAAGAGATTAGGGTTATCTTCTTCTTCTTACTCATTGACTTTCACCTCTTCTTTCATAAATTCTTAGAAAATTTCTATGCCATTTTCATTTGTGAGACAACAGACAAGTTTGTTTCAGCTTTAAAAAAATAGATGTTTTCTTTATATTTTTTAAAATAGATTTTATAAAATTGTTTTTTAAAATATTACAAAATTTTTATAGTCATTTTTTTAGAATTGAAACACTAATTTTGACATCCTATAACATAAATACACATTATTAAAGTCAAAATCGCATTTTTTTCAACAAAAAAAAATATATTTCAAAAATGATTTTCATGAAAATCTATTTAAAATAACTTCAAAAATGATTTTTCATGAAAATCTATTTGAAATAACTTCAAAATTAAGTGATTTTTTGAAATTTTGATATCCAAAATAAAAATTCCATTAGAAAATAAAATACCTAAATAACATTTTAAGAATGATTATTCAAATAAAATTTTCATTTGAATCTTTTATGAAAAGTTTCTTTGTAAATTTTTTTTATACAAAATTATGTAAAAAAAAAACGGGCCAAAATACTAATCGTTATATTTTTTTATCAATTGAAAAATGGTATTCATGTGTTTAAAACCTAAATTTAAAAATGAATTATAAAATATTTCATCAAATGATCCACAACCCCACGATATCGTCGTTATCATCGCCAAACACAGGTTGAAAGTTTGTGGTTGTGCCCTTTCTGTGGAATTGTTGTGTGGAGATATCGTAAGCTTTGTTCTGGGTTGAAGGTATCAAGCCACACACGTTTCAATCATGTTTCAATCAGTGTTTCATTTGTCCTTCTCAATGACTGATTGGGTGTGACATTATACTTTTGTGCCCAGAAAGAAGCAAACTTATGTGGCTCGACGTTTGCAACACCATGAGATTCTACGAATGTGCTTACATCACTGCCAATGGAGATGAAAACAGAGAAATTAATTTACACGATAAAATTCCAAAGCGTGTGGTTTTACACTAAGCTTAAGGAATAATTCACCCCACCAATCTTTATATGTTGGATGCAAAAGGAGTTATCGGCGAATTTCTTGCAGGATACTTTGGAATCCTTAAAGAGAATTTCACAATCTCTCTAAGCGTATATGTTGATAGTATTTTACAGGAGAATGTTTCTTTTACTTGCTCTCGTGCATTAGAGAAGAGAAATATAATTTAGAATGAGAAAGTAATTGAGACTAGTTAATTTTCATGTCGAAAATTTGAGGCCAAGAACCTCTTATTTATAATGAAGTTCACATGTGTTTGAACAAAAAAAAAAACATCTATTAGAGAGAAGTATTGCACTTTTTCATTATAACATATCAAAATAATAGTTCAACATAAAAATAGCACTGATTTGTTGGCAAGTTGCATCCCTTCCTAAATAATAGGCAAGTAGCGTCTTTATTTTGAACCAATTCATGTTATAACAAAATTATTCAAGGCATCATTAATTCCAATAAATAACAAAGGATCGATGACATTGCACATTAAATCACTAATTGAGTTATGAGATGCCAAATTTGGATATAATATTTATATCATTGTTTCAAATAATACAATCATCCAATTGGTTATTATTTTGGAAATTCTCTCACAATCCCCCACCATTTTTAAAATAACTAAATCTCATAATTCTGGAAATATCATGGTTTCAGATATTGGTATCTTACGATTTGAACCAATACTTAGTAAGCTATGGGGTTCACTCATCCCGAATAGACATTGGTAGACAAGCTTTGAACCAACTACTCATTAGAACAAGTGTACAAAACTTACACATGAAATCTCGATACTATCAAAACAATTATAAATATGACACATTTGATAAGGCCATATGTCATGTATGCTTTTCATGAGAATTTAAGAGTCAAACCCTTGAACTTTATGAAGCGGCCTACTTCATTCTCATATAGGTAGACTATATCAAAAAAGCTCTCATAATAAGCATTCCAGCAAACATATACTATATATCTAAGAGAATAATCTCATCCTATCACTTTACTTTTATGGTCTAAGTACGTTTTTCCCCTTGAGATGTTTCTATTGTTAAGTACTTCAATCACTCTAATAATGTACTTTCGTCATGGAACTCAAGACTTGATTTTAATCAAGTGCGAGTTGAGTTTCCACTATTAGTGATCAATTAAATATGGACTTGAGACCCACCCCCAATGATGTCTTCAACACCATGTCTTTTGTCAGACCTTTCATCAAAGGATCTACAAGATTATTTTTAGTTCTTACATACACTATGGAGATTACTCCATTTAAAATTAAATTTTTCACATAGCTATGTCTTATACCAATATGTATAGATTTTACATTATATACTTGGATATATGATTTAGATAGTTTGGATTGACTATCAAAATGTATGGATACAAGTGTTATTGGCTTTGGCCAAATAGGTATCTCATACAACAAGTTTCTTAGTCATTCAGCCTCTTTACTACATGCATCCAAAGCAATAAATTCTGCAGCCATGGTGGAGTCGACAATGCAAGTCTGTTTCTTTGAACCTCAAGAAACTACACCTCCACCAAGATTGAAGATCCATCCACTAGTGGAGGCGTGATCTTCTACATATATTACCCAACTGGAATTTGTATATCCTTCCAAAACCGAAAGGATATCCACTATATGTTAAAGTATAGCTAATCGTCCCTTTCAGGTAT